CACTAAAGATTTAATTACTTTGTACTTCCTTGTCTATGTTTTGCTGATTATTTGTTTACTTAGTATTTTGCGATCTACGGAAAAGAGTTTTTTTTTTTAACTAATCTTTCTTTTTAAATTATGAATATCTATAACTTATATAGGAGTATTTAAATTAGTTCATAACTTATTTATTCATTTATTATAACACAGCTTTACTGCTTTGAACCTGCTTTACAATAATTAGACTTATTAGATATTTTTTAAGTAAAGTTATATATGCAAACCAACTCACTAACTGCACTTACCTATAAGCTAAAAATCATCTACAATTGCTACTGAAGATCTAGCAATAATCTTTTAAATCGAGACTTTGACTCTTCTGACTCATACTAAATAATTTGTGAATAAACGGATTATCAAACCTGAAATTAGTTTATGAAATCTGCAAATTAGATTTGTTAGTCATAAAAAATAAATTATAAAAATAAGCAAAGTATAAGAGATTTCATTATGTAAAACTTATCAGGTTATAATTGAAATATGTCTATCACTTCTACTTTTGCACCATCTACTTCCATTAATAACATCAAAAATCTCACATATAATATTCTAAAAACCTTTAAGGATGGAATTATTAAGAGTAAAAAATTTACAAAATTAGAGCATTGTTCAGTATGCAAAGATGAAATTATTTCACATTTTCTTAAAGCATTCACAACATTATCTTGCGGACATGGCTTTCATAGAATTTGTATCAAAAAAAAACTTTTACTTACAATTCCAAATACATGTTCATTTTCTGGTTGTAGTGAAGAAGTTAAAATTATTGAAACAGAGCATAGAAGGGGCTCTGAATCAAGTACATCATTAGTAGTTAGAAGAATAGAAAAACATAGTATCCAATCTTAAGATTTGCTAGAAATTATAGAAAAAGATATGTCAGATATAGATAATAATAGAAACAGTAAAGATAATCGTACAATAGACCAAAGCACTATTTCTTCAGAAAAAGAATCTCACAAAAGACCTAATGAAGATATCACTAAAAATAAACTTTCTGATAGTATTCCTGAAACTACTATTCGAAAAAAAAAGAAGAACCTAAAAGATTTTTCACCTATTTAGTAAGGTAGGAACAGATAAGATAGGATGAATAAAATCTTTTAGTGCATTAACAATTGCTAAATTAACTGTTGATCAAATTAACTATATAATATCTCAAATTCTTTTTTTTTTTTTTTGGTATTAAGGTGACCTCTTTGGTCTTTTGACTTTTATTAATCACTTGTCAGTATTGTGG